CCGCCCCTCCGCTCTCTGTATAAGCAGGCCCCGCCCCTCCGCTCTCTGTATAAGCAGGCCCCGCCCCTCAGTCTCCTAGTCTCATCTTAGCTGCGTCTTCCACCAGCTTTGAAAGCTCCCATCGGGTGATCACAATGAACAGCACTTTGCCCTGCGGCTTCTGAGCCAATTGGGGTCGCCACCGGCCTTGTACTTCCTGCTCGCACCCTATGGACATCCTGAGAACACCACAGAGAAACACAGCCAGGCCTCCTCCAGGAGGAGGGACACAGCAGAGCGGCCCGCAGTCTTTAGACTGGAAATATCTTCTGTTGTTAAACTACTATGCTTGGAGTAACGGTCCATTACATGGAAACAGAGGAGGGAAACCCCGTTAGCACAGTACTTCTCCGTAAATAGTATTTCTCAAAAACAAGCTTCTTGTTTGACCCCACTGGGAATGCATGAATAGCAAAGCTAAACAAGAGCCCTGTAGGATGCATTTACAGAAAGGACACATGGGGCACAGAGATGTCAGGAGCTGCATCTGTCCAGGTCTTCCCGCAGCCCACCTGCTGGGCAGGGTGGCTCAGCCAGGCCACGGAGTCCTGTGGCATCACTGCCAACCAGCCATGGTCATCAACAACGGTTCAGGGGTGAGCAAGTTGGTTTTGCCCTTGGCCCCTTTTGGTTGGGGGTCATGCCTTAGGCTTAGGGTCCCCTGCATGCTCTGAACCTAGAGAGGGCCCATCCCCTCAACAACACACCTATACACATCCATGTAACCTATACACATCCTTGTAACCTATAAACATCGGTGTAACCTGTACACATCGGTGTATTGTAACCTATACACATCCATTCATGTACTTTAAATCACTCCACATCATTAAAAATTACCTAATACAAAAGCTGTTTAAGTTGTTACACTATATCATTTAGGAAATAGTGGTAAAATTAAGTTTGAACACATTCACTACAGACACATTGTTTTCCTGAATGGTTTCAATCATACGGAGTCTGTCGATACAAGCACCGACCGTATAAAATGGAATGTTCTGAACCCCTCCACTCCCAAAGTCCTTGTAAAATTAAACTGTCACACAAATATCGTAATGTTCTGGTTTCCTCTGGTAATGTTTTAGTTTTAAGTACTACGTTAGAAAAATGACTCTACAAATTTGTTATTAGCTTTTTATCTGAAAGGTAAGGGTTTAGGGCAAAGAGGAAGAGGAAGGAGTTAGAAATTTTGTAAATTATTGTCTAGTCTTAACCCTTGTGCAGAATGTTTCCAACACTCATGAGCCCTTCCTTCCCAAGTAGAGGACAAAAGAGGTTTTTACATATCAAGGTGGAAGGTAGGGTGAGGCAACATTCCTGAGGAGGCAGAGGACAACCTGGCCAGGGGAGGGAGAAACAAGTGTTTTCTGTAGACAGAAGGGCATGACCAGGGAGAAGAGAAGAACACAGAGGTTTGGTAGATGGTAAGGCAGGACTCTTGTAGAGTTCATCAGAGCCAGGAGTAGAGAGCAAGTGGAGATGGAGGGCAAAGAAACAGAGGATGAAGATAAGGCTGGAAGCATAAGAGCTCAGTTGTTAGCAGGACTACGAGAGGACAGTAAAAGGGGAGAGAAAGATGAACTGAGTGTCAGGACGGAACTGAAGTTATGGAGACAGGATTTCATCCCAGAGAAATAAAGTAGACAGATAAAGAGCTTGGTGTATCTATATTCATTCCTGCCCTGAATGCCTGACGGAGCTGTAGCTGTATTGATAGAATTTTGTCTTAGCGGAATAAAGTTAACAGATCTAAGAGCATAGTGTGCACAATTTTTTTTCCTTCAGATAGCCCACGCCGGATGGCCAGATGTAGCGTCTTCCCCGGACTCTGGGCAATCCATACTCCAGTGTATTTCCTAACCACCCTCTCACACTTCCCTGCCCCTGAACAAGCTCCTTGGCCCTGTCATATCACCACCATTTACTGTTCTTTGTAGAGCATCTCTAGAAGTTTTGGTACCTGACAGCATCATTGGACCTTCATTTGCCTTCTGAAGATGGCCGTGCACACATGTACATACATGCCTTTTCCCTGTTAACCTCCCTATGTTGGTTCAACTCTGAGGTTCAGCCACAGACTCTAAGAGTGCAGAACAAAGTTCTTCTTCCTCTGCAGAAGTGACCAAAGGCACATTCATGACATGAGAAGCTTGGAGCTGGGTTTGTCCTGAGTGTCACCCTGGAATCATTCTCACTGGAGTTACACAGGAACCCAAGCACACAGCTCTGCAGGCTGAGAGGGTCACAGCAAAGAACATTCCGCTGTGAACTGCAGCCTTGGGGTTAAACTAGGCACTGGAGCCTATGAGGAGCTTGGACTTTCCCTAGCATCCAAGTTCAGGGAATCACAATTTACAATTGAAACTGAAGAAAAAATCCCCAACTCATCACTGGGTCACAGTCATTTCCTCCCAGAAAAGTCCCTTGAATCCTCATCTCCGCCCAGAGTTTGGAGTTCAGAGTCTCATCCTTCTTTGTCTTACTTGGAGACCCTGGGAGCCATCTGAACTCCATCTTATTGTTGCATTTATTTGTTATTTATGTGGGTGCATATGTGCAAGCATGTGTGAACCGCAGCGCATGTGTGGAGGTCAGAGGATGAAGAACTTATAAAAGTCAATTCTCTCTTCCTGCCATGTGGGATCCAGACATCAAACTCAGGTCATCAGGCTTGGCAGCGAGTGTCTTTACACACTGAGTCACCTCACAAGCTTGGCACCATGTCCCACCCTTCTGAATTCATTTCATGCTGGAGTCACAGTGTCAAGTCCCTGGGCAGTGACACAATGCCTCAGGACACAGTCCAAAGTCCTTCACATTTGTGACAGTGAAGATCCTTCCAAATCTCTCAGACCACAGCAGGCCACAGGCCCCTTCATGCACATTAGAAAAGATGCACCCTCCTCAAGGTGTCACCCGCTGTGGGATGATCAGGGGTCTGTCAGTGGTGATGTGCCCCTCGGTGAGGCCCAGCTGTGTACTGCAAACTTGCATGTTTGAACCTGCTGTCCACTCAAATCCTTTCCTCATCCTCTCAGAGCCCCACCCCCCAACTTCCTCCCCCTCCACAGTCCAGCCCAGTGGCCTTTCTGCCACCCCCTCCCCTACCCCCATGACACTCTTCAATGCTTCTCTGCTTGGCTAATTGCTCTTTATGCTCCAAGACTCATCTCAAATGTCTTCCATCCTACCCTGGGGAAGCCATACTTCCGACCCACCTACCTCCTATCTCCCTTTCTTCCTTCAGGGATGGCCTTCCCCTTGCTCCCTTAGCTCTGGGTTCCTCCTGCTCCTGGATCTTAGCTGCTGTTCTTCTAACTGTCCACCTGTCCATG